TAGTAGTAGTACAGTAGTAGTAGTAGTAGTAGTAGTAGTTCAGTAGTAGGTGTAGTCGTCGTCGTCGCAGTAGTAGTAGTAGTAGTAGTAGTAGTAGTAGTAGTAGTAGTAGTAACAGTCGTAGCAGTAGTAGTAGTAGTAGTACTAGTAGTAGTAGTAGTAGTAGTAGTAGTAGTAGTAGTAGTAGTAGTAGTAGTAGTAGTAGTAGTAGTAGTAGTAGTAGTAGTAGTAGTAGTAAATGTAGTAGTAGTAGTAGTCGTAGTAGTCGTAGTAGTAGTCGTAGTCGTAGTCGTAGTAGTAGTAGTAGTAGTAGTACAGTAGTGTAAGTAGTAGCTCAGTAGTAGTCGTAGTAGTATTAGTAGTAGTAGTAGTAAGTAGAAGTAAATGTAGTAGTAGTAGTAGTAGTAGTAGTTCTAGTCGTTAGTAGAGTTTAAAAAAAAAAAAGAGATAGTTAGAAGTAAGTAGTACTAGTATAGTAGTAGTATGTAGTAAGGTGGGCAGTGTCAGTGGTATTCGTAGTAATTATTATTATTATTAGTAGTAGTCGTAGTCGTAGTCGTAGTCGTAGTCGTAGTCGTAGTCGTAGTAGTAGTAGTAGTAGTAGTAGTAGTAGTAGTAGTAGTAGTAGTAGTAGTAGTAGTATTTAGTAGTAGTAGTAGTAGTAGTAGTAGTAGTAGTAGTAGTAGTAGTAGTACTAGTAGTAGTAGTAGTAGTAGTAGTAGTAGTAGTAGTAGTAGTAGTCGTAGTCCTCGTCGTCGTCGTCATCGTCGTCGTTGTCATCGTCATCATCGTCGTCGTCGTCGTCCCTCGTCGTCGTCGTCGTCGTTGCCCTGCCCTCTTTCTTGGCTTCTTGCCTTCCGCTTCCGCTGCCCCTCCCGAGCGCGCGTCTCGCCACTGAGGTCCAGCATCTTGTGGCTGCGTCGCTACCCAGGCGCCCGCCCCAGCTCTCCTCCCCGTCCCCGCTCCACCCCAGCTCTCCCTTCCGTCCCCGTTCCGTCCTTCCGTCCCTTGTCGTCCGTCCCCCCTGGCCCCCATTCAATCTCTGCCTCTCCCCTCCCGCAGTCAGTCTCCTGGCCCACCTCGGCGCCATCCTCCTCGCAGGTGCGGTGCCCTCCCCTCAGTGGCATGCGCCCTTCCTTATTCAAAGTCGTAGTGACACGGCACAAGTAGCCCTTTGCAGACGCAGGCGGTGTCAAGTAATTGTGGTGCCGCTCGAATTCGGCATGCCCAGAAGCTCCCCGATAAGCTATAGGATTGAACCTCGAGCCCAGAGGCACTAGTGTTTCCAAAGCTGGCATTTGTAAGACGTTAGTTTCCTGCCAGGTGCGGTGGTCCAGGGTAAACATGATATGATCTAGTTCCTCTCGCTACCCCATACACTGTTGCCTTCTTTGTGCAAGCGACACATGGTCGCACGCAGAGATGTGACGGTAGAGATGGCGTGTGCGTGGAGCAGGGAATTCATACATAGACGTTTGTAATGGCTTGGCGGGTACGACTACGTAGAGTTTCTCGGTTGTTGCAGTTGCGTTGCTTGTGGCCTTCCTCCTCCCCCTCCTCCCCCTCCCCTCCTCCCCTCCCCAGGCTCCCTTCTGCATCTCCTCTCTCTCTCCTTCCCCCCCCCTCTCCCTCCGCCCCCCCCTCTCCCCCCTCCCCGCACAAGCTCCGAACTCCATAATCCCTCCTCCGCTCTCTCCCCCTTGCTCCCGCATCCGCGAGAAGGAGGAGGAGGAGGAGGAGGAGGGGAATGACCAGTATAAACCCAAGGCCCATCAACGATGTTGCAATCGACCCTTCCTCCAAGGCACATCAACGATGTTGCAATCGACCCTTCCTCCAAGTTCCCCGTTTGTAGGTCCCTACAATGATGTATTGTCATTGCGGGAAGTGCCTCGTTGGAAGACAACCGTTTGTGAACCCTACGCCGGGCCATAACACCATTCCTGAAATTTCAACGCCGCAAATCAACGTTATTGTTGCGTCTTGACCGTGCATCATGCCAGATCACCGTTCCTGGGAAATTCAACACCGCCAATCAACGTGACTGTTGCGCCCTGACGTCTTAAATCGTACCACATCACATCTCCTGGGACGTGGACCATACTCATCTTGCACACTTTTAAGTGTGCGCATCGCTAGGGCGAGAGCCACATGTTGATAACGACCCGCCCTCCATCCGTGAAACTCATGCAAGCTTTTCAGACGAATGTGCGCGGCGCTAAGGCCAGAGCCACATTTTGAAAACCACCCGCCATCCATCTGTGAAACTGTTGCACGTTCAAAGCTTCAGGAACATACGTGGTCATGGAGTCTCAGGCGAAGGGAGGAGTTGATTCGTGTACGGGGAAGTGATGGAGGAGGAGGAAGAGGAGGAGGATGATGAGGAGGATCAGCTGGAGGAGGAGGAGGAGGTGCTTGCATCCTGGAGGGCGGGGCCCAGGGCTTAACCCCGCGCGCTGTTAGGCCGCCACTGGATGCGGTGGATGGAGAGGAACTTCGACTTCCAGAAGATGGCCATGATGGGCGCCCCCCTGCTGCAGAGGGGCACGAGGAGAGTCGGGCGCTGCGCAACTGGGGGTGGATGGGTGAAGAGAGGTGCACCCTCTTTGCTCCAAAAGGGCCCCAGAGGGATCCCCTGTGGCCCAAAAGGGGCACGAAAGGTGCAAGTCTTCCCCCCTCGTGAAGCAGCACCCGAGGAGAGGGGGTCCGAGGAGGAGCAGACATCGATACTGCTGCCGCTCCGGGAGAGTCCTCGCCGCCACGTCTGGAGTTTCCTGGAGATGCTGGCCGGAACGCGCCCCTCGGAGAGGTCCGGGGAGCAGCGGTGCAGGCGCGCTGTGGTTCCCCCAGGGGAGGAGGGGTGGCGGAGGAGCGGGTGGGGGCGGATGAGCAGGATGGTCGGGGGTGGACAGAGCCCCCAACAGTGACACGTCGATATGTGAATTGTCCGTTTTCGGTTCTCGAGAGGGCGCCGTGGCCGTCATTTTCCAGGCTTGCGCCCGCCAGGTTTGGGCCTCAGGTCGTTTTCACTAAACCACGTTTTGCTAAAGGGTGGCCTGTCCATCCCCGAGAGGAGGGGTGGCGGAGAAACGGGTGGGGGCGGATGAGCAGGATGGGCGCAGGGAAGTGGGGGACGTACAGTCAAAAACCCTAATAGGGACGCGCGACTTCGCTCAGGGTACCCCTGCGTCCTTGCCCTTCCTTGCTCTTGCGTCCTTGGGGTTTTCGTCGTCCGCCGCCCCAAAAATCCCAGCTTCGGCTTCCAAGGGTCTTGCGTCCTTACCGCCCGTCCTTATTAGGGTTTTTGACTGTATGCATGGGGGCGGGGGGGGAGTCCTGATGGTGGCCGCGGTGGCCCTCCTCAGCTGCAGAGGGGCAGAAGGAGGGAGCCATGGGGAGGGAGGGAGGGAGGGAGACGGGGGCGCCGGGCCTAGCTGTGCGCACCCTGAAAAGGCGTCAACGTCCATGCAGGAGTTCGAGCGCACAAGGCTCCTCCTCCTTCTCCTTCTCCTCCTTATCCTCCTTCCTTTATTCCTTCCTTCCTTCCTTCCTTCCTTCCTTCCTTCCTTCCTTCCTTCCTTCCTTCCTTCCTCCTCCTCCTCCTCCTCCTCCTCCTCCTCCTCCTCCTCCTCCCCCTCCCCTTCCTGGGAGGAACAGGAGGGGGCGATGGAGGCGGATGCCACTGCCCATTCCAGGCGCACCATGATTGCCATCGCCTTTCTCCAGCTGCCTGTTGCAAACTCCGCTCGCATGCAAGCGCAGCAGCGCAGCAGGAGGGCGGTTGAGTTTAATACCCTCCCCAACTCAGGACTATGAACTGGCGCGACGATGGGGGAGGGGGAGGGGGATGGGGGAGGGGAAGGACGAGGACGACCCAGATCAGGAGGATGAGGAGGATGACGAGGACCAGGGTGAGGACGAGGAGGAGGAGGAGGAGTTCGTGGAGGTGGATGAGAAGGAGTGGCAGCAGCAAGAGGCCGGCCACCACTACAGCGGCGGCGCCGCCTGCAGGTATTCCCGAGATGCACATCGACCCAACGAAGAACCGCTGGCGGTGGCCCCTGCGCTCTCCTTGTCTCCCTTTCTTCCTCCCTCTGTCTCTGTCTCTCTCTCTCTCTCTGTCCCTGTCGTTGTCTCAGGTCTGTGTCTCCGTCCATATCTGGCGAGATTGGCCGCCCCGTGCCATCCTGCAGACTTTTTGCCAGCTGGAACCACAGCCGCTCCTTTCAGGGTCTGCCATTTATGGCGTTGCAGCTGCCTCGCCTTCATGAGTCGAGGGGTTGACCTCTCTTACCTGGTTGAGGGTGGTGTGCGGCCAGCGGAATCGAGGAAGTGCCAAGAACCCAATACTTGGCGTTGCAGAAGAGCCTCAGGCGCTTACGACACAGCCCTGCCCTGTTCGATTCCTTCGGTGGGTGCGTTTACGAGACGGCGTTGCACGTCTGGGTGATGTTTTTCGAGGGTGGTCCTTCTGCCCTTCAATCGCGGAGGACGGCCCACGTAACATATTCGAGTGATTCAGGGTTACAAGGTCGGGCCATCTGGGGCTCCTCTTCCTTCACCTTCTGGCCAGGATGACCTCTTGCTTCGCTTCTGTTAGGAGGTTTCCCTTCTCCCGCGAGGACCTGGACTCGGATGAACAAGCATCGTAGTGTCTTCCCCCCTCCTCCTCCTCCTCCTCCTCCTCCTCCTCCTCCTCCTCCTCCTCCCTCCCTCCCTCCCTCCCTCCCTCCCTCTCTCCCTCCCTCCCTCCCTCCCTCCCTCCCCCTCCCCCCTTCATCCTCCTCCTCCCTCCCTCCCTCCTCCCTCCTCCCCCATTCTCCTCCCTCTTCCCTTTGTGACCGAGTCGCTCGACGCTGTCCTTCTCACTCCCTGGCGTCTCGCGCACCCCCCCTCGCTCGGCGACGCGAGGTACTACGTGGACACGAGCTACTACGGGGGCATGCTCGACAAGGCCCACGAGGAGGGGCCGCGCCACGGCCGCCCACCGCCGTGGGGGCAGGTTGCCGCGGGAGGCCGCGGGAGGCCCGCGTCCGTCGCGTATTTCAGGCGCCGCAGCGGCTGCGCCGCCAGCGACCACCCCAGGCCGCCCCTTGGTCGTTCTCCCGCTCTCCTCCTCCTCCTCCTCCTCCTCCTCCTCCTCCAGCTCCTTCTCCTCCTCCTCCTCCTTCTCTTCCTTCTCCTCCTCCTCCTCCTCCTCTTCCTCCTCCCCTCCTGCGCCTCCTCCTCCTCCTCCTCCCGCATCCCAGCTCCTGATAAATAATTCGGGCCCCCCCAGCTTGCTGGCGATTTTTCTTTCCCCCCTCCCCTCCGAGGAGGAAGCGGCATCCATGCCTCTACCCTTTGGCCGTTTTCCCCTTGTGGGCCTCCTTGGAGGCCCTCGTCGCCACCGCTGGATTCGCCTCGAGATCCTGGTCAGAACGCACCCCGGGAGGGGTCCGGGGAGTAGCAGTATCGGTATCTTTTGGTTTCCCCAGGTTCTCCGGCCGGGCCCCCCCCAGAGCTCGCAGGCGATTTTTCTCCCCCCCCCCGACTTTTCGATTCAGAAAGGAGCCGCTCAGAAAGGGGGACCCTGGGGGCCATTCGCATTCGGACGCACCACCATCGAGGATGACGCCCCCTCCCCATCGTACATCCCAGGGTTGGGCCCCAAACCTTTGGTCCGTTCGAAAGCCCCACGAGGCCTGGGATGGGCATCGACGTATGCCCTGTTGCCAGCGCTGCCACCCCGCGGCGCCCACCGGTGCGCACTGCTGGGGCCTCGCCTTGGCCTCGAGGCGCGCAGGCGGCGCGCAGGCCCCGGGCGGTGCGCAGAGGGCGGCGCGCAGAGGGCCGCGCGCGGGCCTCCCGGAGGCGCGCGCCCGCAGCTCCCGCGCGCGGCGCCCGCAGCTGCAGCACCGCCCCCGTGGGGCAGGTGCGCCACAGGGCGTGGCCCATGGCCCAGCACAGAGGCACGCCCCTGCCGCTCTGCGCTCCTCCTCCTGCTCCTGCGCCCCTGCGCTCTGCGCTCCTCCTCGTCCTCCCCCCCCCTCCCTCTCAACCCTGCTCCTCCTCCTCCTGCTGCTCCTCCTCCTGCTCCTGCTTCTCGGTCATGGTCTGTCTGGTAGGAGAGCTCTCCGCAAGGTAGAGGCCACGAGGCGCGTGTCGCTGACCAGGCGCAAGCATCGCATCCAGGCGCTTAAGAAGGTTGCCGGCACGAAGGTGGCTGGCCTGTGGCGGACTGGCCTGATGAGGGCCTTAGCTGGGAGCCTTATCGGAGCGGGGGGAGTTTCGCAGGTGACGGGGTTTGGTATACGCATAAGGATCCCAATTTTGACCCGAATGTAGATGCCACTATCCCACATGTGTTCAGATACTGGTGCTGGGTGTGGGATCGGAGGGCGGCTGACTCTGACCTCAGGGTGGCTTGTTTGGCTGCCCGAGCTCGGCTGCGGGATTGCCCCCATTGGAACCGCGTACAGGGTCCGATAAGAGCGGTGATTTTATCGCTTCGACGTGTGGGGTGGGATTTGATCTCGCACCACCAGTTGAGGTCCGACCAGAGAGGTCATATCGTTTTTTTCGACCTGTCCATGGGATGTCAAACAGCGCCTGCGCGAAGGTATCAGCCGAGCGCAGGTTCGTCAGATCTTGGAGTCGATTTCCGAGGCAGGTGCCGAAGAGCCTGTCTGGGGGCGCGCGCTCCGATTAGGGATTCTCTCGGTCAAGGACCCAGCCAGGCAAGGAACTCTGCGAGGTCTACTTAGCGGGAAGCTGTGGCCGCCAGCACGCAAGCACCAGCATGGCCTCGCGGCCAGTCCGAAGTGCGAGTTCGGCTGCGATGTTGACGGGACGTTCGGTCACCAGTTGTACTCCGTGTGGTTAAAAGAACATTCAGTTTTTCAGGGCAGGTGGCCCAGTTCGTCGCCTGCCAGGCTGAGCCTCTTGCCTTGTCTGATAGGCGCAGCTGAACTTCGATGGTTGTGCAACACTTCTCGATCCTTTCCCACGGCCTCGAGGTGGCGGACGGGGGGGCAGGTGCACCTGGTGCCATTGCGCTGGCAAGACGGTGCTGTCGAGAGCGAAGTTAGAGTAGCCTCGAGCTAAGTACGAACCGACGCCGCTCCACCTTGTCCTCTCGGCCGTGAGAGCCGAGCGTCACACTGGCCTCCTTCCGAAGGCGCGAAGTGATGCGGTCTTACGTGCTTGTCGCGAGTTGGGCCTCACATGCGATGAATTGCATGTGCAGGCATTGGAGGCCTTCGAAAACCGTGGCTACTGTGTGCAGGCCATGGACAAGTTTCTGATGTGCCGACGCTGCGGCGCCCGAGTCGCGATTGCGGCCCCTGTTTGGCGCCGACTTTTGGCCGCTTGCCAAGGCAAAGCTGAGAGGGCGTTGCTGCAGTCTTGGCGCATCGAACCTGCTCTCGCTGGTCGCGAGGTCCGCTAAGGCCACAGCATGGGTAGCAGGCAGCGGCTGGTGCCGTCGTGCTGTCTGCTAGCCCTGCTGTGGCCTTAGGGGTCCTCGGCCTGTGCGGGGGGTGGTTGGACCGTGACGGCGGGAATCCAGCGCCCTCCACCTATTCCTAGCTTGCCAGCCCTCATCCGAGTCGGATGTAACACAGGGATCAGGGATCAGGCCGAGGCGCAACAGGATTGCGCCCTCCGACCAGGGATCAGGCCGAGGCGCAACATCATGTTGCGCCTCGGCCTGATCCCTGGTCCTCCCCCCTCCTCCTCCTCCTCCTCCTCCTCCTCCTCCTCCTCTTTTTCCTCCTCCTCCCCCCTCCCCCCCGGCTCGCAAGGGGGGCGGCCGAGGGCAGCGCGCGTCTGCCAGTGCCCGGCCTGCTGGCGTGTGCGCTTGCAGCGGAGGCGCGGCCTCCTGGAGGTCTCGGCCCAGTGCCGAGAGGCTCTGGCCCTCGCCCGGGATCGGGTCGGGTCGGGGCAGCGGGGGGGTGGCGCAGCCCGCTCCGCTTGGGCTCCTTCTCCCTGCCTTCGGAGACGGGGAAGTCGGCGCAGGGAGTGGGCCCAATCCCCTCCACTTTGAGCTCCTGTGGCGCCCTCCAGGGTGAGCCATGGGGTGTGCGAGGGCAGGGCGGGGGGAAAGTGGGGAGGGAAGGGGGAGGGTCTCCAGAGATTCCTGGAGGTTTCCTGAGGCCTCCGGAAGCCGCCGAAGGTCCAGAAAGGACTTCTAGAGCGGAACATGGACCCCATATTACCCTACTTGTAGTTCTTCTTCTTTTACGACAGCAACAGCAGCTACTACTACTGCTACTGCTACTGCTACTGCTACTGCTACTGCTACTGCTACTGCTACTGCTACTGCTACTGCTACTGCTATGCTACTGCTACTACTACTACTTACTACTACACTACTACTACTACTACTACTACTACTACTACTACTACTACTACTACTACTACTACTACTACTACTACTACTACTACTACTACTACTATAACAACAACAACTACTACTACTACTACTACGACCGCTACGACTATACCTACCACTACTATTTCTACTACCTCTGCTACTACCACTGCTACTACTAATGATATCATTACTGCTACTAGTACTACTACTACTACAACTACTATTATTACTACTACTACTACTACTACAACTATGCACTACTACCACTCGGAGTAGTACGGCTACCACTACTACGGTGGGAAGAGTCGTAGACGTAGCAGTAGTAGTAGTAGTAGTAGTATTAGTAGTAGTCGTAGTAGTAGTCGTAGTCGTAGTAGTAGTAGTAGTAGTAGTAGTAGTATTAGTAGTTGTTGTAGTAGTAGTCGTAGTAGTAGTAGTCCGTAGTAGTAGTAGTAGTATAGTAGTTGTAGTAGTATTAGTAGTAGTAATTATTAGTAGTAGTAGTAGTAGTAGTAGTGGTAGTAGGAGTAGTAGTCGTAGTAGTAGTATAGTAGTAGTAGTAAGTAATTAGTAGATAGTAGTAGTAAGTAAGTCGGTAGTTAGTCGAGTAGTCGTAGTAATAGTAAGTATTATAGTCTAGTAAGTATTATAGTACTAGTAGTAGTAGTAGTAGTAGTAGTAGTAGTTAGTAGTAGTAGTAATAAGTAGTATGAGTAGTAGTGGTTAGAGTGGTAGTAAGTGGTAGTAGTGGTAGTAGTAGTAGTAGTAGTAGCAGTAGCAGTAGCAGTAGCAGTAGTAGTAGTAGTAGTAGTAGTAGTAGTAGTAGTAGTAGTAGTAGTAGTAGTAGTAGTAGTAGTAGTAGTAGTAGTAGTAGTAAGTAGTAAGTAGTAAGTAGTAAGTAGTAAGTAGTAAGTAGTAAGTAGTTAGTAGTAAGTAGTAGTAGTAGTAGTAGTAGTAGTAGTAGTAGTAGTAGTAGTAGTAGTAGTAGTAGTAGTAGTAGTAGTAGTAGTAGTAGTCGTAGTAGTAGTAGTAGTAGTAGTAGTCGTAGTAGTAGTAGTACTAGTAGTAGTAGTAGTAGTAGTAGTAGTAGTACTAGTAGTAGTGGTGGTGGTAGTAGTAGTAGTATTAGTGGTAGTAGTAGTAGTAGTAGCAGTGGTAGTACTAGTACTAGTGGCAGTAGGAGTAGTAGTGGTAGTAGTAGTAGTAGTAGTAGTAG